ATTTCCATACTTTATCTCAATAGTTGATTATGCCTATATAATTCGAGTTTGTAATCTGAGCTGAACAATACAGTGATCAACACAAAGTTTCAAGATCTCAGAGTAATTGATTCCACAAGGCTCAAGGCCCTCGTCACTACGCCATTCCAAAATGCATTTAATCATATATAAGTCCATTTGGGTTCCATAAATCTTTACGTTTATTTTAATTTTAAGGAAAAATATGATAAATTATTTCCAATCGCGTCCAATCGCGTCCTAATTTTGAAAATTGAAAACGTTATTTTCATTTTCATATTAATTAGTTTATCTCAAATAATTGTTCATACATAATTATTAACTATTTTTATAATTAGGATAAACTAATTTTTTTTAGTACGAAGTATATGCTAATTACCGTTGAATTATGTTCGCTTTGGTGGGATAAATTAATTTAACGTATACTTGTTAGCTTATACTTATATTTATAATCTATAATCTATTGATTTAAGGGTGTATTTTATGTTTCCATTTATGCTTTTTCATTTTTGTATTAATTCCTATATTTCTAGAATTAAATACCATCGTGCTAAAGGATTCAAAAATATATATTATTTTAATAGACACATAGATATTTCAAATTCTAAAATTTTTCTATCGACCTCCTCTAAAATAATTAGATAAACCTTTTGAGTTTCCTACAAAGTCATCTATTATTGTAATGGTGTGAATAAATCTTATTTTTTTAAAGAGTGGATGATGTCTAAAGTAATTCATCTTTTAAAAAATATTTACGGGAATTATACTGAATGCCATAAAATAAATATACATTTATAAAAATATCATTTTTTTTATAATCTATTTTTCAAAAATGTCACAAAAGTCACTTTGAGGTTCATCTTATATAAGTTTGCTATGTCATTTTTGTAAAAATTTAAACTTAAATGCTACATATATATAAATGTATATTATTTTTGTGCTATTTTTGTAATTCCCTTTAAAATTGAATATCTTTTAGGCGGGTTTGATAACCATTTTATTATTGGTTTTCTGTTTGTAAAAATTAGATCAGTAAATACATTACTAATTTCAATTTCTTTGTTTTAGCTCAGCTTTTTAAAATCTAAACCAAATTTTTTAAAATAAAAAAAATGTAGTTTTCAAAAACTTGATTTTGGATTTACAACTCTAATGAATTGACTACGAAACCCTTTGGCTATACAAATCCATGAACACATACACTAAAAGCCCCATCTTACAAAAGGAAAAAAAAAAAAGAAAAATCTAAAATGAACAGTAATTAAAGAGATGTGCAATAAAAAAAGCGACATTAGTTGCAGGGGGCTAAAATTAATTTGGAGCCAAAAGGATTCAACACTCAAAATGTTCTTTAAATACACTAGAATAAAACCAATCCTAAAAAAACCCTTGAAGCTATAAACCCTAAAACTATTTTAGGAGTTACAAACAAAAAAAATTCCTAATTTAGAAATCACACTACAGGTTTGGGTTTATGCTATTAATTTGGAAAATGCATTCCACCTCTATTAAGGTTGCCCTTTCCCTTTTACAGGGAGGGAGGGAAGGAAAGACGTGTGGAACAAATGTATATCATAGTCTATCGGGAGTGTGGAGACCCCTCCCGACATTGTCTGTTCTTTTCTTGCTAGGGCAGAGTAGTGAAGTAGCGTCTAGGGTAAGCTTCTAACAATATTACAGATGTCTCACAGGGAGAGTTTGTTAGTATGTCTAGCCGCGTTTGGTACGTATGTACGATGTGCTTGACTTTTTTTCTGATGCGCTCTACATTCCTACTATGAGGAGGGGTGCTGCTTGCAGTATCTCCCCATTTATGGATTCAAAACTCAAATCTAATCAAGTGAAATCCTAAAATCAAAACTCAAAATCAAGTGAAATCCTAAAATCGATTCAAATTAGGGTTTAGGGTTTGGGCTTATGCCCTTGCACAACTGATAATATGAGTTCAAATCATAAGAGTTGAATTCCAAAAGTTAGGTTACATGGGCCACATAGCCATATGGTCAACTGGGCCTTGTTTTGTCCAATTCTTTCAGTCCATTTCCTTTGTAAGGCTCCACCTTCTACAATTTGTACGGAGCTTTCTCCTCCTTCCATCAATCCATCCTTCTTTACCTATGTGTCAATGGGTTGAAAGTTTTGAAGAAAATGAAATCATGTCAAATACAAAACCGAAGCAATAAGAAAGAAAAAAAGGAAATAAGCACACGAATTTAAAGTGGTTCGACCGAAGCCCACCTCTATTATTGTATAAACTAGAGCACAATCTTATCCAAGGTTCGAGAATGGAAGAACTAGAGAGATGAAATCGAGAGAGCTCTAGTTGAAATCGAGAGAGCTACATGAGAAAGTTTCTTAGAGCCACAACCACTCAACTCACCACCTAACCCAACTAGCAAAATTTTTTTAAAAGGTTTAAGATGATTAATTTAGTAAACCCAACAAAAATAATAGTTAACCACAGTGAGTCTATGTGACTAACTTTTGTAGTTGACAAATGACAAATGGGTTAACCAAATAACAGAAAATATTGTGATTGGAGCTTGTGAAATGGTTGTTGGCTTTAGATCGTATCAACACAAGTACAAAGGGTCCACATTATGTCCTAAACTTTTATAATCACAAAGCCTTCCCATCATGGATTATTGGGCATGACCTTAAACATGTGCTCACACCCAAGTCTCATGACAGACAACACACTTCTAGCTCTTGGGCTTTTTTCAAGTATAATTGATCATGGGATCCCTACTAATTAAGTAATTAAGTAATGGAAATCTCTTAAGTCGTCAAATTAAAGTATCAGATGTTAAGGATCCCACATTTAAAAGATAAGGGATCTAACAAGGGTTTATAATATAAATGAGCTACTTCTCTTGTTACTCATTAATTTTGAGATGGAACCTCATGAATATTGATATGGTATTAGAGCACGTTCGAAGGAGTCAAATTCACACCTCGATCCTTTAAATGCTTCTACATTAGAGATGACAAAACACGAGACAATCATTACAGTCCAGAATGCTAAAGTCGGAATTGAATATCATCTCAAGGAAAACAAGAAACCAGATGAGTTCTTAATTGACAAAGATTGAGAAGAGACTCCAAATACTCAATACAACACTTGGCTCAATAATGATGACCTTCTAACCTCTTGACTCTTAGGCATCGTAATTGAGGATGTGTTGGTTGCAATTGAAGGAACAACTTCAATATACCAAATGTGGAAATCGCTAGAAGAACAATTCCTCACCATGACGAAAGAAAACGAAATTCACCTCAATGAGGCTATTCTAAGTCTGGGAAGGGGAAGTATTTCTTTAGATGGTATTTGAAGAAAATTAAATCGTTTTGTGATCAACTTGCTGCTGTGAAGAAACTAGTTGATGATCTCACAAAGCTGTTCCATGTTGCTAGAGGATTAGGAGCAAAATACCAACGATTTAAAACTACTATGTTGTTTAAAGCGCCCATATCCAACATACAATAATGAATTCATCTCAACTCTTGAAGTGACATAACCTGTCTCAAAATACCTAGTTGTCCTAGAATGATTCACGCCGACCACAGACCCTGACTAGCTATGGAGTCCACGATCAACTTTCTTTCTTAACCTTGACCTGATCTTTGACTAACAATCTCTGTATGGACGCACAATAAAATAATAATCTCAATAGAACAACCATTCTTACATCCATTCTATACATTATTTTTTATCAAAATGGTGTAGATAAAAATTTCTTACAGACCAACAAAATTTACATACAGAATGTCATGCAACTTTGAACTATTCTAGGTGGCAGACGCTGAACTACTATCTCCTTGAAACTCAGAAACTCAGAAAATCAGAAACTCAGGTACGGCCTGAGGGGAAAAACAAAGGATAAAGAGTGAGCTGGGAAGCTCAGTGAGTGGTAGGTTAATAAGAAAATATTCTCGTAAAACTTCTTTGATAAACAACTGAAATTCAGTTCTTAAAACAAACTTCATAAACTACAGTAGCAAGTTTTCTCATTTCAATCGAGCAACTAAAAACTCAGTAAACTTTCTCATAATAAACTTGCAACAACAATTTCTTTCTAGGCAAATTGAAAAAGATAGCGCTCCCAAGTCCAGGATTTGGACCAGGATTTGGAATCCGAATTTGGCCCTATTCGCCCCGGCATTCCCCTGCGTCCCCTGCGACCTAGTTATACCAACTTTTAAACATGTTCTAAAACACATTCTAAAACATATAAAACATTATTCTTTCAAACACAAAACAGATAGATAAAACTAAACATCATACATGCATCCATATTCTATTCTGGTCTACTGACATAGAGTAATCTCAATATACACAGCAGAATAATTCTCTCAACGCGCGAGTCAAATGGTCCCAAATACCTTTTATTTATGAGTATACTATAGAAACACATTCTTATAGCATACGGGTAATCACTTGGATATAATAACATGGTGGTTTGAAAACTCTTCTCAATCTCATAAACTGTTCTAAAATTATTTTCTTCTTTCTAAGAACTTTTCTAACTTTCTCAAATGATTTCTAAAATATTTCTTCCTAAGAACATTTCATAAAATTCTAAAATTATTTTCTGAAATCTCTTTCTAAATAACATTTCATAACTTTCTCGAACGTTTATTTGAAATCATAAAATATTTCTAAATTCTCATAAACACTTCTAAATTCTCAAACAAACACATTTTCTTTCATTCTTAGCAGAATTGCTAAATCGTACCTAATATATATAATTTCTCAGAAATTCCATAATAATATCCAAAAACATTTAATAAAATAACCACTCAGAAGTCTCAATAATAATATTTCAAAATGTTTAATAAAGTAACCACTCACAAATCTTTTAAACTGGATCGTCCGCTATTCCAAATTCTGTTTGACCTGAAATACCAATTCAATACCAAATTGTTTCTCTTAATTTCAACATAAACTAATTCCAATTTAAATCAGAATAACTTCAAAATAAATGAACTATACAGATTCACAACTCCATTCTCTCTCTTCATTTAAAACCATCATTTCTTCCCTTTCATAAAACTTACAAGTGAGACCCACCATTTCTCTCACTCAATTCACCACAGGCAATTGTTTTTTTTTTATCCAGTTTCTTTTATTTTCTTATTCAATTTAAAACCAATAATTTATCTCTCTCTTCCCTTCAACACCCCCCTTCTTCTTCTTCTCTCTTCTCCAACCAAACCCACGAGTTCTCCCTTCTTCTTCTTTCCTCACTTCCAAATCTCTTTGTTTTCACTTTCTTCCTTTCTATTATCTTTTCTAACCAACACAACCTTCTTTTTAATTGTTGCAACAAACCACAATTTAACCTTAACAATTCTATTCCAACTAGTAACACAATAGCAAATCTTCTTTGTCTTGACAAATTCCTGAAAAACCCCAAATCAAAGGATTTCTTTGGGGGAGGAACTCACAATTAAATCATTGTCTTCTCTGCTTAGCATTTAATAGAGAACGTAAATCTACCATCTCCAAGTTTCAATTCATTTCTTGCACATAAACAGAGAAATCCATAAACCCTATTCAAAATCTATTTTTTTTTCGAGTCCTCTAAGAAAACAAGTATACTTACCAAATTTTGGTATTGTTCATGGTGAAGCTCTCAAAATCAACATTAACCCAAGATTTTCTCAACAACTCTTTGTGAGATCCTTACTATCTCTCCTCTATTTTCCTTCGTTCTTTCCCTTCTACTTTCCTTCTGTGTTCTTTCTTTCCTTTTCTTTTCCTTCATTTTCCTTTCTTTATCTTTTCTTATTTAGCCACATAACCATTAAGCCAAACCCTCTTCACACGTGTCCCTCAAGATTACCTCCAAAACCAAATTTTTTTAATTCCTTTATTTTAAGGCCAAAGACAAAAATACCCTTACACAATTCTAAAATTCCCACATCTGAATTTTCTTCATTTTTTTATGCAAAATGACCAAAATATCCTTCCAAACTAAAATTCCAAATTTTTTTTTTGTTTTTTTTCCGTCAAAAGGTCAAACGGTCCTTACATAAAGCACATGAGATAATGATAAATACATACAATAAGGAAGAAAAGAGATCACAGCCTGACCACAACCAAGCACTTTATGTCCAAAGGGGACAAGGCAAAGGCAGGGGAAGCAATTTATCTTCTAGAGTAAGAGGTTTCCTAAACGACAGACAAACAACCCCTCAATATTCTGGCTACACAAGTCAGAAAACCAATTCTTCCTAAGGTAACTCACGTTTGTCTAATTCTACTTTTCGCAAAAATGAGAAACTAACTTGTCAAATATGTGGAAAATGAAACCATACTGCACTAGAATGCTAGAATAGATTTGATCACTCATTCCAATTATAAGATGTTCCCAAGGCTTTGGCTGCATTGAATTGAATATGGGAACATATTTACTCTTATATGCTGATTCAGGTGCTACTTCTCATATCTTGAATGATCCAAGTAAGATCCTTACCTATTAACCTTATAAAGGAAATGAAAAAGTATTTGTAGAAAATGGTTTCAACTTAACATATCACATATTGGACAAGACAAAATAATCACTGATTACAAAGATCTTAAGCTGGAAATGTTCTAATTATGCCAAAAATGAAAAAAAAAATCTACTCTCTATTAGTAAACTCACACAAGATAATGACTGCAAAATCATTTACCTTGCTGATAAATTTGTTATAAAGAACAATCATGGACTGATTCTTGCTGAATGAACAAGGAAAGGTGGGCTGTATGGACGGGATCAGCAGCAACAAAGACAAGAAGCTCTGGTTGCAATTTCATCTCAAAATAAGGTTGTTGTATCTATATGGCATAGGAAAATGGTACATGTTGTTGGGAAATTAACTGTCATGTATAATTTCCCCTTCCACAGAAAATATTCACACACAACCACAATATGCAAATAAAGAAGAAAACAACACAGCAAATTATACTGGTTTACCACTAAGGGCTACGTTAGTCATCCACTCAAATGTGGATAATTCACTAATATTATTAAGGATTGGTCACAATAACTCTCCCAAAAAATATCCCCTAGACTACCTAACAAAAGTCCCTTAGCTTCTAAGTAATCTAATACAATTACTTATGTACAGGAATGAAAAATACTCACTAAACCCACAGGATACAGACTCATTTTCAATACTGCCCACAACCACTCAAGTCTCTTTTATTTGGATTCTGTACAAGGATTCTGTACAAATGAAACTTTAACATAAGGGCTCTATTTATAAGAGACCAAATATCCTAATTCTTATAGGAAAACAATATTGTAATCCTTATTAGACAAGAATATCCTACTCCTTATAGGAATTGGTAATAGCGTTGAAAATCCTTTTTTCTTCATAGTACATGAGTTTTTTGTTTTGGCTCCATTATCCCAATAACACTTGGAGACAAAACATCGATCTTGCCTCCCACTGCACTAACAGTGTCCCATCTTCTTGACACCCTCTGTCAAGGCACAGTTCTGACTGCTCTAACGAACTGATCCATACTACACGACCCTACCCAAGTTCTGTCTGATTCTGCCCCGAGACTAGGCAGCTCTACGTGGTCTTATTCCCCAGACTTTGAGACATAGCCACGTAATCCCACTTGATCTAAGTGGTTCCCACTGTTTCTTTCTTCGATCGAACCCACTAACCTCTGAAAGAAGATTTTCTCTCTACATTAAGCTTGACACTCCCACCCAAGTATGTCGCCACACTAGAAATAGAACTCGTACCCTTCGATGTACTAATTCGCCTATGCGACTTCACCAGCTCACCTGAACATCTGACATCTGAGGTATGAACTCGATGACCTATCAAATTTCCGTTTCCCTTTTTTGTACTTCTCAACTGTTTAATTTGAACTAATGGCAGATTCTTCTGATCTGTTCTGACTATCAATTTTGCCAGTCCTCTAAGGTCACGCCCTAAACCGTCACAGCTTCTTTGTGCATTCTCTCTCAGTGGACCCTTGGCAACCTCAAACTTTGACATAAATAGAAAATCTCTTGTGGCATGTCACCATAGCTCTGATTCCCTCTTGAGCTTCCAGCAACCTTAAAAAAATTCAATGTTGTAGCCATCATCATCTAGCTTCCTTGTGGACAACAAATTAAATATGAAGCTAGGAATATACCTGACGCCTCGTAGCACCAACTCGGCCCCTTTTCCTGTCTTCAAACAAACATCTCCAATTCTTCTCACCTTTGAGATACTCTCATTCCCCATCCTCACTGCAAGAGATGAGAACCAACATCTATCTAAGGTAACATGAACCGATGTTGTAGTGTCCATTACCCACTCGTCTACAGATATGTCCCTCTGAGCACAAGCAAGAAATTCTTCAACCTGATCTTCTTCTATTACGACGTTTGTAGAATTGTTTTCCTTCTCAAAATCTTCTTTGAACTTTCTACAAAAACATTTCACGTTTCCTTTCTTTAGTAAAAACACTTCACTTCCCTACAGGAACTCCCACTACCCCTGTTATATCTCTGCTGCTGATTCCCATTGTAATTCATCTTTGCCTTCCCTTTGTTCTGACTAACTAAAGCTGATTCAACCCTGTTTTTTGCCCCTGAAGTAGATGTAGACATTTTTCTTAATTTTTTCCAGGCTTCCTCAGATAAGGCGGCATCACAAATAGCTGAAAATTTCAAGCTATTTTCCCCTAGCGAATTCGACACCGCGGTCTTTATCATCTTTTAACTGTCAGGCAAAGATGTTAACAGCTTCATAGCCTTCACCTCTTCCTCAATCTTGACACACCATCCATTCTAATTTGTTCAAAGTGTCGCAACATCATCGCGACGCGGAGCGACCGACGTCATCCCCTGAAGGGTCTCTTTCGAGATAAGGGTTGGAGTCGCCACCAACCATCCACGAGGTGTGATTGGTCACCTAAAAACAAAAACAAGGTCTGCGAAAAACAGATTGTTGGTTAGGGAGTCGGATCGTCGGAGGTTGTTGCTGTGGCCGCTGTTCGTGGAGGTTGTTGGAACTGTGAGTATAATGGGTGAGTTTGGGAGAGGGCTTTAAGAGTGGGAAAGAAGGAAGAAGAAAAGAGAAGGAAGAAGATGAATGGCAGAGAGAGATAAGAAACATAAAAGAAAAATAAAAAGAAAAAGGGAAAGGGAAACTAGGTGTTTGAAAAGAGAAAGATGGAGGAAGAAGATATGGGGAAGAAGATGAATTGTAGAGAGAGAAAGAAAAGAAGGAGAAAAGAAAAAGAAAACAAAATAAAAAGAGAAAAGAAAAAGAAAACAAAATAAAAAGGGAAAGGAAATGGGTGCTCGAAGAGAGAGAAAGATGGACTTTCCTTAGAGAGATTGAGGTTCTTTTGTTTGTTTTTTCTCTCAATGTACAGTAGTTATCTGTATCTTTGTGCCTCTGTCTTTCTCCCCTCTACTCTGTGCAACATCCCTCTTGAATACACAAAATTGATAATGGTAACATGGAAGAGTTAAATGAGATCTAGAGAAAACCAAGGAAAAAAGCCATGTTGGTAGAGGAAAAAAATCAAACAGCTATATTTTAAAAAACCTTTTTATTTATGAAAATAAATCATTTTTTATTTACAAAACAATAATAATAAAACAAATCCAACCAAATTATTTAAACCAAATCTTAACCCTTTTTTTAACAAGATTAATTAAGTTAAACTTTACCTTAAAACTAATAATAAAGCAAATAATGTTATTTTAAACCAAAATAATTAAAATAAACTTAATTAATAAAATGATAATAAAAATTAAAATAAATTAAATTAAAATTAGAATTACAAATAAGTCGAACCAAATACGGTGTCTATACAAGATATCAGCAAGTTCATTAATGTGGGAATTCACCGAGGTTCCCTCTTCCATGTGGATATTAAAATACTTCGTCCATAGAAGTATTTTAGTGTTGACAGAAGGTTTCTTATACTTGTCTTGCAAGGCCTTGAACAATTCCTTTGTTGTAGTCTCTTTCGCCACCAAACTACAAACATTCATCGACAACGACATTCTGACGTTCCCAACGGTCTGCTCATCCATCTCATTCCAATCCTTATCCATCATTCCTACTGGTCTCTCTCCCAAAGTCTTGTGTATCTTCTTGAACGTGAAAAGATCATTTACTTGCATCTTCCAAAAACTGAAATTCTCCCCGGTGAACTTCAGAACTCCTTCATAGTAATGGTGTGCGTGATATTTGTTTCCCATGATGTTGCAACCCTACAGCTCTGATATCACTTGTTGGAAAATTAACGATCCTGTATAATTTCCCCTTCCACAGAAAATATTCACACACAACCATAATATGCAAATAAGGAAGAAATTGTAAAGAACAATAAAACAACACAGCAAAGTATACTGGTTCACCATTAAAGACTATGTCGAATCTTCTACTTAGATGTGGGTAATTCACTAATATTGTTAAGGATTGGCTACAACAACTCTCCCAAAAAATATCTCCTAGAGGTCCTAACAAAAACCCCCTAGCTTCTAAGTAATCTAATACAATTACTTAGGTACAGGAATGAAAAATACTCACTAAACCCATGAGATATAGACTCCTTTTCAACACTGCCCACAACCACTCAAGTCTCTTTTATTTGGATTCTGTACAAATGAAATCTTAACATAAGAGCTCTAATTTATAAGAGGCCAAATATCCTAATTCTTATAGTAAAACACAATATTGTAATCCTTATAAGACAATAATATCATACTCCATGTAGGAATTGGTAATAGTGTTGAAA